GTTTTATAAAATATATGACAAGTTGTGGCTCGAACGCTCAGTTGCAGTCTCGGCGCTCAGTCACCAACAAGCTCATTGTTTTCCTAGTCGTCACCACGGAACGTGTGATATCTTTGCGTTGTCACATTGGAGTTCAGTTTGTGTGTTTTGAAGTAATTTACAAGTATTGTTGATGTGGCCGTCTGTCTATATTTTAAAGGAAGTCATTTGTGTCGAAATATCTAACACGATATAGACATAGTCATAGACATAGATATAGATACACCATTCTGGAAGTATCATTGTTAATATATTCAATTGTAATTAGTAACAAAAACTGAATGACTTGAGTTTTCTTGAGAGAGTGAGTGAGTGAGTGAGTAAGTGAGTAGCAAACATTGTATTGTCAGTCGCAGGGTGTAAGCATTAAGGAAATTCGTTCGTTCAAGGGACGACCGCAGATTGTAATTCCCTTACCGAATTCCGGGGTATCTTTTACGAAAGTAATTCTTATTAAGTTACGAATTGGTTCTTCCTGTTAGGAGGAATAACGTGGGAACATATTTGAAAAAAAGAAATTAACTTCGATCTGTATTATGAAACGAAATATAATCTTTCAGCGTTAACAATTTTAAATGATTTTCTATGTTTATTTTTTATTAAGAAAGCGAGGCAAACGAGCGGCGAGAACACCGAGGTGTTAACGACGCCCATGGACATCCGCAATACCAGAGGAACTACAGATGCGTTGCTGGCCAGAAATGGTATGCTCGCTTTGTTTTATTATTGTCATAGTTATAGAAATCAAATGCAATTGTATCTAGCCAATTTTCAAACCACAAACATGGTCAACTTTTAACTAATAAACAGATATAAAATATAGGAAGTTTAGCCGCCTGATTGTCGCTAAATGTTTACAAATTTACGGCAATGCAAGTGTTAAGTTTCCTGAATTAATAAATTTAAATAACGATGAAACCAAAACGTATAAAGTAATGTTGTTTTGAACGATTTCAACTTAGTTTAATTGGTTTATCAAAACTTGGAAAATCCATGGCGATTGACTTTAAAAGAAAACCAGTAATTTTATCAAAAAAAATTACAAATTACTTCCCTTTGTAAATTATCAATGCGTTGCAAAGATTTTACATATAGAAATATTTAGTATAGACAAGTCGCTCTAATGTACCCTTCATTATACAATTATTACTTAAAACTAAGTATATTCAAGCTTAACCGTTAATAATTCCGTACACTTGTCTCGAAGCACGTCGTATGAGAGTAAACAAAGATCAAAAATATTGGCTCCACGCAGCGATATTAATATTTTAGCTTGTGTCAACATCACGCCCTCGTCTGATAACGTTAATATTATTAGGTGTGTTCATGATCGACAAAACATGACATCGCAGTATGAAAAATGTATTCCCGTTTTCGATCTGCATATTCAAAGGCCAAGTACTTGACGTTACTCTTGAAATTTTATGTTCTTTGGGACATGTTAGGCAGAATATCATCGACAGACTCTCAGAAGCTTGGAAAATATCGCTAAATACTAATCGTGCAAGGTATAAAGTACATCATTGATTTTACACCACTTATTTTACAAAACATAGTTTTCCGAAATAGGTCGTAAATACGTCTTCGCGTTATCAAATTGAACATGAACATTTTTCCCACCATTTCTACCAATCTTTGCAATATTTAACTAAAACTACTCGTACATTTTATATTGAAAACATTTTACAATGGTTTGCTATTCCAGAAAAATATTAAAACAAAAAGTTTTGTTTGTAAAAGTTACAACCGCTGTTTCACGGGAACCATTCTTTCCAACTGTTTGATTTGTTTGATACGATGCCAAGCTTACAATGTATACAATAAAATTGTACTCGTATTTGTATAGTCAATGGTTAGTTAGTAAAAACGATTGTTATAGTTAGTCAAAATACACTACATATACATACATTAATAAAAATAATCACTGCTTGATGGGTGAAATTGATGATTGTTTTTTAATAAAAAGCAGTAATCAATTAGGTGATTGTTACTTCATAGATAAGATTCTAGCATTTACAAACGTCTTATTAATAATAATGCAGTTAAAAGTTAGGACCAACTTTCAAAGTAAACAACAGGGCGTGATATAAACATCGCAAAGCTCGTCGCGGTGTCATTACAAATCCCTCAAAGAAAGCCCTCAAAGAAGTTTGGGTCAGCGCTATACATAGATGAGGGTTTCTTTCAATTCCCCTGACCTGCTTTTAGTATGCCCTACTATGAATTAATTCTGTGCCCTAAATACAAACAGACCTTCCTACTTACAGAATTCAATTGTTTGTCGCACAAAAACTGAGTTTTATCTATACCAATGTTATGAAGGGAAAAGTTTTTTTATGAATTGAAATAAATCAAAAATTTATATGCCGATATCATAAATTCATTCACCATTCATATTTTGAATTATTTTTATTTCACGCGGGCGAAGTCGCAGTCAACAGCTAGTCATAGATAATTAAATACTATACTTTTAGTTTACTAATTTCATAACCATAAAATCTTATACTTGCCAGGGTTAAAGAAGGTTCTTTCGTTAGAAGCTCTTCAGTCATTTTCAACTTTCTTAAACTAACTAAAACTAAAACTAATAAAATTCACTTTAATGTCTAATAACAGGCTATATTTATTAAGTTTTTAAATATTTAATTCTGTTAATTATATTTTAAGTTGTAAATCTGTCTTAGCTAGAGAATATTTCAGATATTATTGGCAACGAACCAAATGAATTAATTACACTCGCTTATTACGAGTCAGCTTGAGACTTAAGAAATATCGCTGTTATCTTTAAAGTTTCTAGGTTATATGAAAGTTATGTAACTATTTATGCAAATATACAGTTGAAATAATTATCAATTCGTCTAAAAACTTATAAGGTTTATCTCGTTTTTATAATAGTGACTTATCAAGTCTAGGTTTACACCATTAAGAGCCTGGCTGATAGAGGCTTTGAAAGCTTAAAAATGACATCACTGTCAGATAAGGGGATAAAATCCGATATTTCCATAACATATTAGATTGTTATCAAACAATTTACGATTTGGTGGGACAAGCCCAAAGGCTTTTAAACTAGATTTTTAGCCGACAAAGAGATTTTAGTGTGTCAAATGCCTCATGATAGTCACTTGATGTCTCGCCAAAGCCACTTTACACCATATTAATTTATTCACACGTTCCAAAAACGATCGAAAAGAAACAAGAAAAAGCAACTAGGAAAAATTAATTGACAATGGTTAAGAAGGCGTAACGTTTTTTTTTTATCTTTATAGTCGGATGATTTTAATTGGTAAAAAGATAATGTTTATAAGATTTTCTAACAAGCTAACCTTGTAGTGAAGTCGCAACTCTGGAGTCGTTAGCGCGCCATTTTGAATACGGCATTATTCAAATAGATTCAGTTCGAGTTCACAGCATTTGAATAGGAATCTAAAATTTAAAATGGATCCTATTCAGAAAATCTAAGGTAATATTGGAGGACGTGATCTATTAGTAGATGTAATCATTTTCAAATTTTTCTGTAATCTTTATAATGGAGTTTTTCTTTACTTGTTCTATTCTTTGATATGGTGTGAAAGAGAAGTATCATTTATGTTTATTACAAAAAATACTTGTAACCTTGTATATCTATTACTTAACATTAATTAAAAATAAGACTATCTTGCATACAACTCAAAATACATAATTTAGATATTTTATACAAAACGGTAAATGGGTTAAGGTCTTCTTAAAAATTTACCAACGAATATTTTTTTAAGAAAAATGACAAGTTTTAAATTGGACAGTTTTCATATATTTCTGGGAGCGTTTTACTGTAATATTGCGAGTGACCTTTTTCGCGGACAGATTACATCTGGTTACGAGTTCAGATCTCTGATAGAACGACCGCTATTATTAAAACCGTAAACTTTTACGAGAAAGAAACAATTACTGTTATAGTAATTCTTCTAGATTTGTTGGATAATGTCTAGAAAAATTAATTTTTTCTTGTAATAAATTATGGACAGTATAATTTACCTAATATTAAAGACTAATTGATACATTACATCTACTAACTTAGAGGAAAAAACTACATTTACACTGAAGTTTATCATCATTATACCCATGTCTTTTATGAGATCAGTGCACTAAGATGGTTCCAAATCGACTCGTCTCTTGTTATTTCAAATCTTATCGGTATCTATGTCTATAGAGAGATATAAAGATTTGTATTTTTGTATTTATTTGATTTACGCAAAAACTGCTGGACCGATTTTAAAAATTCTTTCACCGTTAGAAAGGTAATTTATCTGTGAGTAAAATACGCTATCTTTTTAATTCCATGCGGACGAAGTTGCGTCAGTATTTAAAACAAAAATCTCTGCAGGTGTATTAAAACGAATCTTTATTACACGGTAAACTTCCTGCGTTCCACATCCCCACAAAAGCCATACACAGACGCCACAAAGCTGAACATTCTTCACAGCGCTTGCATTCAACAAATATTTCAATGCTAAGTGGAGCATGTTTTATGAACCGACGGATTTGTAAGGATATCATAAGGACGTAGTCATTTTTAAACATTCGACATATAAAAATCTATAAAATTTCAGTAATACAAGTGTCAGGCATGCCTTGAATTGGTCAGCACAACCTAGCTGTAATAAAACCTTACAGTAGATAGACGTGAGGTATACATATTTATATTTGCTGTTGTGTCTAATCTCATACGTAAAAACCCGGTCTAAATTAATCGCTTTTTTTATTCTTGAGCTAATTTAGAGTATAAAGATGTACGTTTCTAAATTTTAACGCATTAGAGAATGCTAGATAATGCCCTTAAAGTTAATAAATAAAAAAAGCTGGTAAAAAGTAACAAACTAAATATATTGTTTGTTTTAAATTGAAGTACACAATCTACAAACAGAAGTGATAAAAAATTTAACGACACTTTATCTTCGTCGTGAGGAAATACAAAGTTTTCTATAAGTTTTAAATAGCTTCCTTGTCAGATAACTTATAAACTTTTTGAATATAACGAGGAAAAGAAAAGCATTTTAACAGCTGTTTAACATCAACTTAATATAACTATTAAATTATTATTGAATTTCGTCAGAAGTGACCTCTGTACATTGATTGAATTCGTAGATGGTTTGTTTGCCTTTAATCGACTAAGGACGCACTAAAGAGAATATTCCCCCATATATGTCTCCTTCCCTTACTTTTCAAATCCCTCCCTGCAGCAAAATAGTGGGTAGAAATAGAGGACTTAACTATGACCTATTTAAAGTATCGATTATGTTTTAACTTGTCCTGATATCACAGGTCCTGCACACTTCTAAAAGTGCTTTTTTATATGAGAAGGGGGCAAACGAGCGGCGTGAACACAAAGGTGGTCAACGACGCCCATGGACATCCGTAACACCAGAGGAACTACATATGCGTTGCCGGCCTTTGAGGACATTGTAGGCTCGCTTCTTAAAGGACCCTAAGTCGTATTGGTTTGGAAATACCGCCGAGGAGAGACTGTTCGACAACAGGGCAGAAAGTTCTATTTCAAGCTTGTCCTATGGGTTAACAAATATACATATAAGCATTACAATTAAATTACTCGTAACCGTTCAACAATGAATACACATGTAGCTGCTTATCTAATCATATGACC